ACAGCAAGAAACCCTGCAGAAGTATGTGGTTATGGAAAAAGAAGGAGGCATTGACAGAGTTGTTGGTTAGAGATTATGAACAGGAGACATTAGAGCAGGAAAGGAGATAGTTACTGTGTTAGGCTCTTTCTGGGCTCAAAGACTGGAAAAACACTCAATTCAGAGCAGGTAGAGAATAGGAATTTATTGCATCCATACAAAGAGACAAACGCCTACTGAGAACATGCCACTCACTAGGCCCTCCTTCCTGCTCCTACTAATAGGCAATGGGCAGGGCAGCCTTTGAGGTTTCGGAGGAGTTGTGTAACTGTCAGGCACACTGCCTAACTGTGGATAGGAAAGCAAGGTATATTCATGATGAAAAGAGCTGTGGGCTATAGACTAAGCAGGAAAGACTGTCCACTAAGCCCATGCCTTATGGGCAAAACTGAAAAACAGTTTATCTCTCTCTTAACTGCCTCTTCTGAAGCAAGATAAAAGGGTAGGAAAAGGAAAATAACTAGATCATACTGTTTCCCAACAGTGGCACCCTGGAAAAGCTATAGACCTACTCCTCCTACCCATATCCCTGTAAGTGTCCTAGTCCAGCCCTTCCCAGCCATACTTCAGCTGTTCCTCCAATGTCAATGTGATCCCTTCCCTGTCTAAGCTAGCCATTGTTTAAGTGTAGGTTTGCAAACAAAAAGCCCTATAGTCATGAGACTTTCTAAGCTTTTTATGTGAAGATCCAGTGAAATCAATTATTGATGGAAGGCAGTTGTTTAGACACCTGTGTGCCACATCCCTAGAAAGTGATAGGTACAGAATTAAGTTTAGATCAAAATAATATTTGAAAATATACCAACTCATTTCAGGCATTAAATAAACTCAGTATCATGGCACAAATGACAAAAAAATAAATAAAAAGACATTGTAAGAGGAAAAAAACCAACAACCTCATAGCTTTGATAGTCTGGAGTTAATATATCTACAAAGGGCTTAATATCTAAGTGTAGGAAACGCTTAATTTCCCCCAGTTCAACAGTTTATCTGGATTTGCTGATGACATCTGACCTACTTTTCAGCCTTCCAGGCAGTAATTACCCATTGTGCTCCCCAAAGTCTCAGTCCATAATATCCTCCCTTTAATAAGATGTAACAAGCCCTTAGCATGTTACTGCAGCACTTCAAAGTCACATTGGCACCACGGGAGTGTTTTTAAAACATGCAAAGCAGGAAGTGCATTCTGGGGTATCTTGGGCTTAAAACCATAGGGACACAAATATCGGGTACTATAATTTGAAGAGAATCATATTCTGAAAGGCATCATTGAGACATAGGGAAGGAGACAGTGGGAGAGAGGTTTGGGTTTTTTAATTACTGAAACAAAAGAATCCAAGGTAAATTTAGTCTGAACAAGACAATGAGCAAATCTGTTGAATCCTATCTTGTTCTAAAGTTACCTGACTAGCTTTTTAATGCCAATCAGGGAGGCCTTGGAATGGCAGAGTCAAAGGTTATTCTGAAGTCTCTTTCCCATCCATCTGGAGATTCCATTTCTATTCCTGTTTACATGTACTGTGGATAGGGATCATAGTTACTTTAACTTGTTTGATCTTCAAAGTTAAGATATGTACCAACATGGGACCAGCAGTTAGCGTAATGGCTATGTCACTGGACTGCCACGTAGTCGACCACGGTTCTAGTCCCAGACCTGGTGGCTTAAACTCACGCTGGGCACGTGTGCGTGCATGCTCAGGATACCGAGAGGAGAATGGAGGAGAAGGTATTGCGGTGTGGCCATCCCCCCTGGGGGGTGATTTCTCACTTTCTGTCTCTCTGTTTCTCTCTGTCTTTCTGGCAAGCGCATGTGCCCTATAACAAAAACCTCTCACAAAAAAAAAAAAAAGAGATATATACCAACTCAGAGGTTTAGAAAGGAATATGGAGGAAAACATATTAACTGGTTCCAGAGGTTTTGCTTCTGCCAAATATTTCTCAAAGTAGACCTGACACGATTTGGGACAATATAGTGATTGCTTTGTTATTGTAGACCATTTAATATACAGTGGTAAATACTAGCCACATGTGACTATTTAATTAAAATGGGGACCAGCAGATGGTGTAATGGTTATGTCGCTGGACTCCCATTTACAGTAAACTGTGGTTTGAGTCCCAGACCTGGTGGCTTAAACTCACACCAGGCACGTGTGCGTGCGTGCCCAAGATCCCAAGAGGAGAATGCAGGAGAAGGGACTGTGGTGTGACCATCTCCCGGGGGGTGATTTTTCACTTTGTCTCTCTGTCTCTTTCTAGCGAGCACACATGTCCTTTAGCAAAAATCTTTCCAAAATAAATAAGTAAATAAATTAATACATTAAAATGAAATTTTAAAGAATTACTTTATTTATTTATTTTTAATTTGACCAGAGAGAGAGAGCAAGAGAGAGAGAGAAAGTGAGAAGGCAAGCCACCAGGTCTGGGAAAAAAAGAGATATATACCAACTCAGAGGTTTAGAAAGGAATATGGAGGAAAACATATTAACTGGTTCCAGAGGTTTTGCTTCTGCCAAATATTTCTCAAAGTAGACCTGACACGATTTGGGACAATATAGTGATTGCTTTGTTATTGTAGACCATTTAATATACAGTGGTAAATACTAGCCACATGTGACTATTTAATTAAAATGGGGACCAGCAGATGGTGTAATGGTTATGTCGCTGGACTCCCATTTACAGTAAACTGTGGTTTGAGTCCCAGACCTGGTGGCTTAAACTCACACCAGGCACGTGTGCGTGCGTGCCCAAGATCCCAAGAGGAGAATGCAGGAGAAGGGACTGTGGTGTGACCATCTCCCGGGGGGTGATTTTTCACTTTGTCTCTCTGTCTCTTTCTAGCGAGCACACATGTCCTTTAGCAAAAATCTTTCCAAAATAAATAAGTAAATAAATTAATACATTAAAATGAAATTTTAAAGAATTACTTTATTTATTTATTTTTAATTTGACCAGAGAGAGAGAGCAAGAGAGAGAGAGAAAGTGAGAAGGCAAGCCACCAGGTCTGGGTGTCAAACTATGGTGGTCATGTGGGAATCCAGCACCCTTAACCACGTCACCTCCCAGCCTCTAAAATGAAATTTTGAAAAATTATCATACCTTTAGTTACACTAGCCACATTTCAAGTACTCAACAGTCCCATTTTGCTAGTGGCTTCTGTGCTGGTCAAAACAGAACTATAGAACATCATTGCAAGAAGTTCCACTAGACAACAATGTGCCCAAACAAATAATTCTGTTACACTACCATTGTGTTTATACCTGTAATGTCAATAATAAAAATGCCAAGGGCATATCTTTTCCTAAAATATACTTTAGGTAAATAACAAAGTCCTGCAAAATACAGTACAGTTAGTAATCCTACCAAGATTGGGACTTCTTTTATTAACAATTGTAATGATCAGTACTTCATGCTGCTGTTGGCTAGGATCTGTTTTTCATTTATAAACTGGAGATTTATACATGAAATCAAGGTCAAGAACTGGCAGTAAAATCATCATGGTGAAAACTGTTAAATAAAAAAATACTGACACTTGTTAAAGCAGTTAGGAAGACCTTATTTGGGTCCATCCCAATAGGGACAGGGGTTACTGCAGTGAGGGTCATTCAGTGGGGAAAGACATTGAACTCTACTCTGAATAAACCATAGACAAGTGGGAACTTACAGCCAAGGAACAGTGGGTCAGTGTATGGAAAACTTTCTAGAGGAGACCTGATGGTGGGAGTGGGGGAATTCTTACAGAGACAGGCCAGGGTCAGATATCACCTGGGGGATAGTGGAAGAGGAGGAATCCAATCAGATTTCAAGGATGATCAAATATTGAGGATTGGGGCTGAACTAAGGGAGCTTCTTTTGCTATAAGTGCATTTTACAAGGAAATTCATATATGTTAGGAAAAGGCTCAGTAGCCTAAAATTTGGCAGAATGAAGGCTTTCGTGGAAACATGTATAAAATTATTTCAGTAATCAATTTTTAAAAAGAATGATTTAACTTTACTTAATTGTTTTAATTTGACCAGAGAGAGGGAGAGAGAAGCAAGACACCATGGTCGGCCATGTGGGAGTCCAGCACCTTTAACCACCATGCCACCTGCCAGCCCCTCATAGTTAATTTTTATTTTGGTTATGAAGATGGTTTGGTATCCTGAGAAAATAAGCTCCAAGGTTTCTGCTTCCTAGACAAATATGATTGCCTTAGCTCCCACACATTTTTTGGTTGAACTATTGTGCTAGTCATGTGCTGGTTTTATTCAATGCTACCTTGGTATACACAAGCAAAAATTCAAGTTCCGTTTTAGTCGTGCATAAATCTTTTTTTAAAAACGTTGTTAATACTTAACTTTGAACCTTCACATTACAGACTATGTACTAATTTCTTTATCTAGACTCGCCATGCATTGAGTCTGAAGAGGTGGGCTTTTTATAAAACATTGTTTGATGGGAAGTAAAGAGAATTTCATAAATAAATCCGCATCACTCTAATGTATCTCTCACGTATGTCTTGCAATGGTTTTGTCTGTTTGGCATTTTAAGACCATTCTTTCACATATGGCAAGGAAAACCGGTGTTGCTAATTTATAATGCCAACTACGTTCTCTTGAGTCAAGATGCAACCAAATGAAAAAACAATTTGAACAGCTGGGTGAGTATTAACTCAGCGTTCTCGGTTTCTTTCAGCTGGGGGAACCTCTCCCAGGCATTGGCAACTCCACGGCGTCCTGTGATGAGGTCCGCCCCCCTACTCCTCTGGGTGTGGCGGGGAGGGGCAAGAAGGTTCTGCCGCTCCCTGTAGTAGTTGGCAGACTGGAACCCGCGTTACCAGCCCGGTGACGGGCGATGGCCCAAGACGGGGAAGTGGGCGTGGCCTCGCGCGCCGGTCACGTGCCGGGCTGGGCGCCTGCAAACCCTGCGACCGAGCGCACGCTTGCTCGCGGGGAGGGGCGGTGCCTCCACGCGCTCAGCGGGGTTCCTAGCGCCCGGAACCCAGATACTTTTGTTCTGCTGGGCTCACGGGTGCTCCGGGAGTACCTGCCAGAGTTGGGAGTTGGTGACGGCCGCTTCATCGACGTGGGGCGGGCAGACGGGAAGCCTGCGGTCGTGGCCCCAGTCTCGGGCGCTCTGGGAGCTCGGGGAACTGCGTAGGTCAGTTTCTCTCCGCCCACCTTGCCTGGAGTCCGAGGCGGGTCCCCGCGGAACGCCTGGTGCAGGGGCGGTCTCTCCGCGACTGTTGGGGGTGGGTGCTTGTCTCCTTGGGTTTCAGGATTGTCGGGGCGACACTGTTGGGTTGCTCCAGCGCTGCAGGAAGTTGGTTGGTAAAAGTAACAAAATGGTATTTGTTACACTTCCACTCCGGTACTACGACTTCGTGCTGGTGCCACATGCATCACCTGCCAAGTCTTCAACTGCGTGCTTTCTCGGTACTTTAGTGTGTGCATCTTAACTTTTACTTTCCTTCTAACAAGAGGATTGATTCACAATGGAAGTCACACGTTGTTCATGTGACCATTCTCACTCTCCACCGCGTGGTCTGTTCGACAAGCGTGAAAGCATATTGGAGGGGATTTAGAAACAATACGAAAGACCGCAGCTGCACAATGGAAACAGTAACGATTCACAAGCCCAGAGGCCTAAAGATGGGCAGATGGCTTTGAAAAGCTTGATGCTGATTTAGTTAGTTTTGTATAATTTTCAGTTGTCAAAGTTGTCGGTTTTGGGCAAACTTGTGAAATTGAACTGTTGGCAGTGTGATACTAAGTTACTGTAAGGCTGCTTGAGTGCTGTAAATGTGCCTGCTAGGCTTTGGGATCTTTGGGATCGTTGATAAATATAATTAAATCATCTTGAAAATCGTGGTGTGTTTTCCCTGAGAACTTCAGTCTCTGCACTGTAGTACAAACAATTTGAATGCAGTGTTTGGAACATCCTCACCAGTTTATTCAGCATTTGGGAAATACTTTGTTGATTTGTTTGGAGTACTAACAGTGTTAGAGTTCTAACTCTGATAGTGACTTTTTGCAGCAGTTCCACATGCAAATTCTTAACCTCTCAGCTGGAACTGTAAAGATACTATATTAATTACAATAAGAAAATCTTTTTCTTTTTTTTTTTTTGTCCCCCAATTCTAAACTACTAGGTAGGCTCTAGCTACAGTCTGTAAAGGAAAAGGGGAGAAAACTTAGTAAAATTCTTTTTAAACAATTAAACTATTTTTCATTTCTCCCAGGCAGCATTGAGCAACTGATACTCAAAATAGGAGTTAACTGAGTAGATAAATCTGAAGCAGTTGTAGGATGGTAAAGGCTGGTCATTTATCAGGTGATACTTCATAAATATCTCCTTGTGAATCAGCAACAATTTATGGTGTTGCATCTGGAGAGTGCTCGTTTTTATAGTTGTTACTTGAGCAGTACTTAGACCTGTGATTCAGAATAGCCAGATAGTATTTCTGCAAAAAAGATTTCTTCTCCACAATCCCCCTAAAACAAAGGGAAATAATATTGTTTTATAACCAAGAACTAGAGGACCAGCAGTTAGCATAATGGCTATATCACTGGACTCCTATGTAGTCAACCGCGTTTCATGTCCCGGACCCGGTGGCTTAAACTCACGCCGGGCGCGTGTACGTGCGTGCCCAAGATCCCGAGAGGAGAATGGAGGAGAAAGGGATTGCGGTGTGGCCACCCCCCCTGGGGGGTGATTTCTCCCTTTCTGTCTGTCTCTCCCTGTCTGCCTGGCAAGCGCACGCGCCCTGTAGCAAAAACCTCTCAAAAAAAAAAATAAATAAATATAAAAAACAAAAACTAGATAGAATACAGTCTCTCAAGTGATAACATGGTGCAATGTCTATTAAATAAATGTAAAGTTTTCTCCATGTGACTTTACTTAGAGATTCATGTGTGTGTATATTTGATCATATTTTAAAAGTTGGGACTCTGTCCTGACATTAGAAGCCACACTTTTGTACATGGTATGTGTTCACTGAGAAAGGCAGTTAGTGGAAAGTAGGAATCTGTTTATCTAATAACATAGGGAAGACAGACCAAGATAAACAAGTGCATGTGAGAAATGTGAAATGGTTTAGAACCTTATCACTTCTTTGAATGTAGATCTGATAGCGATCAGAACTTTACTGATGACCCAGTAAAGTCTTTGCTGTTACTAGAAAGAGGATCCGTTTTAACAGTGTAGGCATCAGCTTATGCCAACAACTCACTAATGAAGTTTCAGAAAAGATACTATCATGTACACTGCACAATATGTTTATGATCGTGGTGTCGTATAAGTGTCTGGTATGACCTCGACTCCTAGAAGTGTTGGCGTTTTCTTTACTCACATGACCTTACTGTATTGGTACTGTCATTATGAAGGGGCTAAATGAGGACTAAATGGAATAATTTCAACACTGTTAGAGCCGGTCACTCACTTTGAGTTCTTTTATCTGTTAGTCTCCGCATGAGAAATTGCTGTGCTATATAGTGAAAGCAGTCCTTATCATACATTTTCCTATCATGTGGCAATGGAAAGTAACCAAGTGTTTTTACTTTGTGTTTAGTTCCCTTTAAAGAGAAAGTTTTATGATGCATAACTGGTCAGTACTATACATGAGTAATTCATATTTTTATTTATTTATTTATTTATTTTTTGAGAGGTTTTTGCTATAGGGCACGTGCCCTTACCAGGAAGACAGAGAGAGAGAGAGAGAGAGAGAGAAAGCGATAAATCACCCCTCAGGGGGGATGGCCATGCCACAATCCCTTCTCCTTCATTCTCCTCTTGGGATCTTGGGCATACATGTACACGTTACCGGCGTGAGTGTAAGCCGCCGGGTCTGGTACTCAAACCACAGTTGACTATATGGGAGTCCAGTGACATAGCCATTATGCTAACTGCTGGTCCCAGTAATTCAGTTTTTAAAAGATAAATTTCAAATGTGAAATAACATTAAAAATTTTAAATGCATTTACCTAAAATTTAGGATACATCATTGAAAGGTACCATTTAACTGGCCCTCCTTGTGAGTATATTTATTATTAAGACTTGATTTATTTAGTTTGTGTGATACTACTTTAACTTAATGTTGCTACTTGAATGTTGCAAATGTGCCTACTAGGCTTTGTGAACTCTGCCCTTTGCTTCTATTGTATATACACACCTTGCTTTGAAACAGTAGCTAATAGTTTTCAGAATCTGTCAAGCTGAAATTCAAATCAGAGGTGTATCTGCAGTTTAGTCTTGATTGTTGAAGCAGATAAAATTATAGTACCTAAAGTTAGTTTAATGAAAAAGTCATGAAACATTTTTTTCAATGATAAAATACAATAGAAACAATATACAGGGCCAGTAGGTGGTGTGGTGGTTAAAGTGCTGGATCCCACATGGCCAGCTCCATGGTTCTACTCTTGGACCTGGAGGCCTGAAAAGCACACATGTGTGTGCATGTGCTTGCAAGCCCCAAATCCAGAAAGGAGAATGGAGGAAAAGGGATTGTGAAGTGGCTATCCCTCCTGGGGTGCTGGGGGTTGATTTCTCACTTTCCCTCACCCTCTGTCTCTCTCTAGCAAGCGTGCACAAACGTTATGGAAAAAAAAAAATTAGAAAAGAGGAACCAGTAGTTGATATACTGGTTTAGGCTCTGGACTCCCACATGGGTGACTGCAATTTGAGTCCTGGATACAGTGACTTGAAACTCATGCTGGGTGTATGTGTGTGCATGCCAAAAATCCTAGGAGGAGACTGGAGAAGAAGGGATAGTGGTGTGGTCATCCCCCCGGGGGGGTGATTGGGTGATTTCTCAGTTTCCCTCTTGCTATTTCGCTAAGTCTACTCAGGAGTCCACGAGCCCTATGGCAAAGTTCTAGAACAAACAAACAAATAACTAGAAAACAAAAACTGAATCGTATAAAATGGAAAACACCTGGTGAGTACAGTTGGTATTTTATTATGTGTATATGGGTACATGATGAAGATACATATAAAAAGGCAGCTTAAGTATGTCAAATATAAAGGGATCAATAATTAGGAATAAAGATCTTATAGTGCTTTCAGTGATTAACAAACAGTAGCATGACATTACAATTATAGCCAAAATTCTCCATAATTTTTTCCTAAGAAGAGTGATGCTCTTTATCAAGGAACAATGACTTATTGAAGAAGTCTGAGGAAAAAGGTTCACTGAATTAAAAATGGATTGGTTTTAATATTATTTTATAAGTGTTTAAAGACACAGGTGAATGTTTTCTAAAATAGACCTTATAATTTGCTGTTGTATTTTTTAAATTGCCATGTTTTAGATAAAGCTTCTTAAAATAAAAGGATCAGACTATAATTTAGTCAAACAGGGAAATTAACTGAAATTGGTGGCCTTTAATTTTAGAGGTTGAATTGAATTTTATGAACTGTATGGCATTATTTTTCTCAAGTTTATTTTGTGAAAGAAATTAGCTTCAACAGGATCCCATGCCATAACCCTTCCCCAGCTCGCCCAGTCACCCAGAATCACAGGCACACAGATGCACCAGGCATGTATCTAGACTTCCCATCTGGTTCAGTGTTGCACAGTGGTGCCTTATCACCTGCCACTGCAGCTGGTCCCTTTAACCATTTTAGCATATATTCTTCAGTGACATTAAGTACACTCACATGGTAGTACAGCAATCACCTCTATCCATCTCTTGAACCTTTTCATCACCCCAAGCTGAAACTCTGAGCCCATTAAACAACTCCCCATTCCTTTCTTCCAACCTATTTCTCCTTCCCTCTATCCATTTTTCTGGTTAATATTTGATCGACTGCTGTGTTTCAGGAATCTTGCTAGGTACTAGGAATGTAATGGAGAACGTGGTAGACATGCTTGATCAACTGAGCAGACTAGTGACAGCCAAAGAAATGACCACATGAATACCTACAAACTGCCATATCGTGGCCAGTGTAAAATCCCATGAGTTTCTAATAAAAGCCTGTTAGGTCGTTGGGAAAGTCATGACTTGTCTTTGTATGCAAAAATGCATCTTGACTTTCCTGACAACCTAATAGTTGATACTGGCAATGCAGAGAAAATCAGATCTCTCTACAGAAATATGGATAGTAATTTTTGATACACTTGTCCCATCCATAATATTCTCAAGTTCTAATTGTGCTATCAA